CAATTATCGCATTCTTTACAACAATTATCGCATTCTTTACAACAATTATCGCATTCTTTACAACAATTATCGCATTCTTTACAACAATTATCGCATTCTTTACAACAATTATCGCATTCTTTACAACAATTATCGCATTCTTTACAACAATTATCGCATTCTTTACAACAATTATCGCGTTCGTCAATTGAAGCATATTCAAACTACAATCCAATCTATGAGTTCAGATGCATTACAAGAAGACATAGTCCCTGGTGTGTTACGTTATTCCCTTTTAATTTCAATAAATACCCCTTGTTAAAGGTTTAATATTTACATGCTCTGTGATTACTAAAATGGGGGTGATGATGGTTGTTGGTACATGGGGCGTTGTGACACTGACTAATCAAAATAAAGTGTATTGTGTTTAAGTGACTACAATTAGCAAGCTAATCCTCATATTGCCCCAAGAATCTCAGAAATGGATATTATATGTCGGTTTTCACCTCAGAATAATTGTAAGAGCTGGAGTATTGCGCGACACCTTATTTTGTTTACAACAAGGACGGTGGGGTAGCCGAGCGGTTAAAGCGTTAGCTCGTCACGCAGAAGACCCGGGTTCGATTCCCCACATGAGTACAATGCGTGAAGCCCATTTCTGGTGTTCCCTGTCGTGATATTGCTGGAATATTGCTAAACGCGGAGAAAATCCCAAACCACTCACTCACGTTTTACGACAGGATATCATGTTTTTTCCGTGTATTAGGTAAACCATGAAGAATTCGCCCTCTCATATTTCACCTTACCAACAGAGGAAGCGAAGTGAGAGTAAGGCTTGGTCCATGTGTATTCCTTATTTAGTCGACCCGTGAAGATCCGGGATAGAATAGGTCTTCAGCAACCCATGTGCTTGCCATAAATGGCGACTATGCTTGTCGTAAGAGGCGACTAACGGGATCGGGTGGTCAGTTTCGCTGACTTGGTTGACACATGTCATCGGTTCCCAATTGCGCAGATCGATGCTCATGCTGTTGATCACTGGATTGTCTGGTCCAGACTCGATTATTTACAGACCGCCGCCATATAGCTGGGATATTGCTGAGTGCGGCGTAAAACTAAACTCACTCATTCACTCCTTATTTAGTCATCATTTTCCGGTTGTGACGAACTTCAGATATCTCGAAGTATTTAGGTAGGTTTTTGACTGTATTTGGGTTATAAAGAAAGTGATTAAAGAATACTCAAATATTTGAAGATATGTCCATTGAACATTATTATTTGTTATATAACATACTCCTGAGTGAGTGAGTTTTGTGTTAATATTCCAGCAATACCACCCCGAGCGACCCCCGAAAAAAGGCGTTAACACACTTGTAGGGAGTCGATCCAGGGCCATTGACATGAGCAAACACTTCAACCACTAGGCTACTCTAAACTGGTGCAGTACCTCATCTCAGGCCATGACTATCGCTGATTAAACTGCTAAATCTATATGCCTAGAATGAATTTAATAACATGAAACTCGATAGGTCACACAAGACACTGTAACCTAAAAATAAGTTGTCTGTTATTCATTTATTAAAACGTAACTTTAAACTTTTAAAAAAATCAACGCGGTTCTCCGGCACATAAAAGGAATTAATAATACCATTCGCATCACAGTGCCAATTAGTATACTGGACAAAAATAGTTAGGGATATATGTAAATTTTGAAATTATGAATAATGATCTATTTATTTATTGACACTCTGATAAAATATCAATCATAAAAATACCAATATCTCTAACTTATTTTGTCCAGTATAGTATACATGCATACGCACAGTGTACATATTAATTTTAACGTTTCATCTCATAATTTGCTGTCACGTCGTACATTAGTGACAAACGGCATTTAGCCTTAACCTCAATACGTAAGAAATCTGCCATTCCTGTAACATAACAGGGTGGACACAATGACTCCAACAGAAATTCACATGAGCCAATATCAGGTAATAACACACATGTAGAGCTATTAAAATTAATGGGCAAACAAACGATATTTGCATAGCTAAGATCAAATGGCATGTGAGTGCATATTCAGTTACTCCTTTATAACGCTAAGAAAATGTGTCGGTTGCACACATCCCCTCTATACCGCAAGTGGCAGCTGGAAGGTAATCGATTAAAAAATCAATAGACTATAAACAGGCTTTAGCAAATGGAGCATGGTGCTTAACGATTGTTAAGATGTATGTTGTTAGGGCATCTGGTCGTAAAGACATTCTGAGCCTACCAAGGACCGGCGAGTTGTGTTCACACTATGATTACTGTAGAATCCGCGTTTCGTGTTTAACGACAATTCACCATTTACATTAACCGTATGTGTTTGTGCACTATGGTTCATGCTGACAATCACTTTTTGTATTCTCCCCAGGGAGTTGAGAATGAACATCGAGGGCACGCACTCTTATCTATATACCTTAGTAATAGTAAAATGTAACGTTTGAGCCAGTTTTAGGGTGTGGATTTGGTGAATCACAATCACCATCCCATCACCATCCCATCACCATCATTATCGTTGTCGTTATTACTATCATTGTGTGGAGTTGAGCAGAATTTCTGCATCTTAGACAGGATCCATTGTATACCATACTGAATGATTGACTAATAGAACTTGAAAACGCACACTTTCATAAAAAACCCATTTATATCATCTATGACTTGAATCAGTGCGAAATCATCTGATAAATAGAAGTTCATTACTAACATAGACATTTAGATGTAAATTATCACCGCAGAAAGTGTTCGCCTTTAATTTTGATTTTGTAAAATTTTGTTTTGGGTAGATCTTAATTTTTTCATACACTACTGGAATCAAAAGCCGCCTCTTGAGACGCCACGGACACTCAACGATCCAAAGGTTATTACAATCTATGGCTTGTTATTAGAAAAGCAAAATACTTTTTTATATTTCGTCGACAAAAAAGTCGTTGGAAACGAATATCAATGATCCAAATGTGGATTTTGTCTGAGGTAAAAGATTTTCAATGCATAATGCATGTATGCTATATATTTAGTCTGACTCATGCACCATTTATACGCGATTATAAACCTATTTTTAGATGTTACGTTAAACTATATACACAATTGAAGATGCATGTACAGCGTATTTTATATTTTAAGAGTCAACAAAACAACTGTACAATGGCAATAATATGTCACAGCAGTTGGCAATAGAATTACTACTTACATAATATATATATATCCTGATTTGAATCCTTTTTTTCGTTTTGAGAGAGAGATATGAGATTTACTCCTAGCTATCAATCGTGCAACATATAAATATGTATATATGTACTCTTTTGATATGAATACGTTTTCGTTGACAGTAATATTTTCAATTTTTCCTTAAAACCCAAACAGAATGGAAACTACATGAAACAAAACCTGAAGGTAGTTATAGTTGTTCCAGTTCTCCGAGGAAACCATATTAGCATCACATTAAATGTAAACAAGAAACTTTCACGGAAATACATAAGGAACTAATAGCAGCATCAATTTTCATTTTACACAGTTTTCACAAAATCTATTAATTTTGCAATTGTGTCTCTTGTAAATTTTTACTATTGGTTAAATATGTCCTTACCTATATAACTGCTTTTGCCTTTTAAGACACGCATACGTGCTGTCGTTTACAGATTAACGATTTCGAATTAAAAAAATTGTCAATCTCCTTTAGGTAATGTTAGTAAGATTCCTGACACGTTTATCACATTTAGCTGAGGCTTGTGATTGGTTGCTGGAATATTTACAAAATGGCTAACTGTTTACTTAATAAACTGGGGAATATCAATCCATCATGAAAATCAATATCTTGCAAGGTCGAACTTAAACATTGCATATGCAAGTTCTCACGAATAAATGAAATCGTCAACCACCAATAAATATACTGTTCTAAATTCTTGTCATAGAATCAAGTCAGTTTAATTTAGGCTGTGAATGTTTGGTGTAGTTTGTTTATTACTGACGTTTATTTCATCCGTGTATGTTATTGATTCCACCAAACAAATGGCACAACGCGGACAGACTTTACTGCCAATTGTGACTCATAGGATGGTAATATACACCATATTCTTTTCAACGTGGGACTTAATATAAGATGGGCTCCTAGGTGGGGAGTGCTGGGTTTTGAGTAACTGAGTTGCCTCGGCTCTACTGCCTGGTGTTACCGACTATATTGAATTGAAATAAACTTCTCTTTAGGCGCTCAAAAGCCACCGATTGCCACTAGGTTGTGTAAACAACGAATTCTGTCTTCAAGTGGAGTTTACAATATGTCTGTATATTACATACGAGAAAGCTCTTGAAGCACAACGGTTTTGATTCAGTGTACAAATATCACGTAGTTAACAGTCACGCCTTTAGATGTCTACCGAAACCTGTAGGTTAGCGTTGGATGTTGCATGCGTACTTAAGCGTTCGTCTTCTATTACAAACTGAACGTCACAGGTCTGCGTCTCAAAATAGATGTATGAAATATTAATATTCTACCACCACACGGTGACGTTCACAGGATCTCAATCCCTCACACATATAGACACCCCAGTACCCGTTATCGATCAGATGGAACGAAATGATATATTCATTCTAGAATCGTTTCGAATTCCTTTCCGAATTGTTATAGCGTATCACAATCTCTCACATTCGCGCACCCGATGTTTACACGGGAATGTACGTCACCGACTTCACAGAACGAACCGAATTTGTTGCGCAATAAATGGGTCCCTTAGCCTAGCCGGGTTGATATAAATATGTTCGTAAACGTATGAATCTTACTCTGGCAATTTCACACAAAGCAGCACCCGTCGTTTACACGGAAATACCAGCTACCCTTAACACAGACCCAAATGACATTGTTACAGCGGAAAAGCGCACATTCAAATTTGCCCCGAACATGACCTACAGATCTACCCGAACACTAGCTATGTAACGAAGAGTCTACCCTACAGAGTAACAATCGACATGAACTTATGTCTCACCTGGCGTCGAAACTGTTCCCGCAATTACGGATCGTCCGGCTACCCGACTGTTGCCGGTGCGAATGAAGTCATGCCCTAAAAACCCTTCCCTGAATGGATATTCGTGACAATGCTCAGGTTTCTCGGGTGGGGCACATTCTTATTGTTCGAGAATCACCAGCCGTGTCTGTCTAGGTACATATTATGCCGAGCCGCTTGACGTTGTACCCAGCGAGGGCTTGTGAGTTATTTGCAAGCCCGTTTTGCCTTCAAGGTCGGCTGAACAGGTATTTACTCGCGGCGTTGTTTATACTGTTTATACTGTAGGCGTCATTAGTGAGCTATCAATCAAGGAAGGTAGAATAAGTCTTGGACTTCATGTTGGATACTGAATATGTCTATAAAAGCCATGAATAATTATTGTATAGTTATAAATAGTGACGCGTATGAACTCGGGGTATTGCAAAGCACGTGCTGACAGTTATACGCCACACACACTCACCGACCCTAGCAGGACACCAGAAATGGGATTCACACATTTTACCCATGTGGGGAATTAAACCCGGGTTGTCAGCGTGACGAGCGAACACTTTTACCACTAGGCTAAACACACACACACACACACACACACAGAGAGAGAGAGAGAGAGAGAGAGACACACACACAGAGAGAGACACACAGAGAGACACACACACACACACACACAGAGATACATGAACACTGAAATGTAAGTAGACTGCCAAATTTCATGAGTTGCACGGAGGCCACAACCAGTGTGAACCACGCAAATTCAACGGGGTTAGAATTACACGCTGATTTGGTTGACACATATCATCGTAAGGGCAGCATTTTTGTTTACTGTGTATCTTACCGCCAGACCAAACCTTCTAATTTTATTGCCCCCAATAAAAAAAGTAAAAGAAAAAGACAAACATTCCATTCCATTCCAACACCGCCGACTCGAACCTAACATTTACTGCCTCGTCGTATAAAATGTTTATCTTATAATCAGTCGCTGCCACAAGTTATATTTGGGATTACACTTTCTTAGTAAAGTACAGATGCTTGTACTTTACTAAGACAGTGTAATCCCAAATATAACTTATGTTACATTTGACCACTTTCTAAAATGGCATTGTGTATTTCATAGCTTTCGGCCGTGGGTACCGTGCCAAGTAACATTTTTCAGAAGGGTACACAAAATCCGTAGTCTAGACTACCAGTTGTCCGACTTCAATTTTTGTGGAAGCCGCGGTGGCTGAGCGGTCTAGGCGTCTGACTTTGTGTGCTGGCGATTAGGTGCCTGACTCTGAGGGTGTGGGTTCAAATCCCGGATAGGACTCAACCCAAAAAGTACTAGAATCTGTACTTTACTAAGACAGTGTAATCCCAAATATAACTTATGTTACATTTGACCACTTTCTAAAATGGCATTGTGTGTTTCACACCCCTGTACAATTGTGAACAATTGGACAGAGCATAACATCGTGAATGCATAGATTGTACGCGAGAAATTGTAATAAGAATTACAATAAATGAGAATCAAGAACATTATTCATATAATTTTGTTGTTTTTTAATTTTTTTCCCCGACCCATGTTCAGAATTTGATGGTTACGTGAAACACATTAAAAAATATGATGCCCCAATAGGTAGATTGATTTTCATCATGACAATCACTGGATTGTCTGGTCAAGACGCGATAATTTACAAACCGACGGCATGTAGTTGTTGATAGTGATTTACACAAACACACAAACAAAACATCCTGATAAATAAGCGATGTCCTAAATGTTAGTTAAAAAACAACTCTGTCATACAACATATGTTTTTTCAAATCATTTAACGTTTCAAATTCCAAGTGATATTTGTAAATTGTTAACATGCAGCGAGTATTGCGCTACATGCATGACAGGCCATTAATAGTCAATCGGCTTTTTACAGACAAAACATTATTACGTGATAAGCCGAACAGAAAAGTACTTTACAAATCAATACGATAATAGGCATGTCCTCCAGCCGTACTCAAAGACCACATAATGAGGTAATGAGTGTGTCTACGCCGCTTTTACCAGAGTCCAGCAATATTGTGACGAGGAACATATGACTGGAATTCTTTGAAATACAAAGCGAATGAGATTATTGAGTTTGGGTTTGGGAGGGTTATATGATGGTAGTGTGAGGTATAACTTTTTAACCGTAGCAAATTACCCCCACCCCCACCCCCCAAGGAAAAAAAGAAAGTAAAAAGGAAAAAAAAATGAAAAAAAATGAAAAACATAAAAATCAAATAAAAAATACATGAGAAATACCCAAATTACATTAAAAAATTAAAAGAACAACAAACACAATCATCCCACTCCCACCTACCAAGATAAACAGAATAGGTAGAGTAAAACAACAAGCAAACAGAAAACAAACCCCAAAACAAACAAACAAACAACGACAAACACAAACGACCAATAAAACACTACGCCACTGTGGTCACTACAGCAGGTCATCTAACCCATTGTTTGTTGTGCATCAACGCACTGCTCTGGTCAAAGCGCATCCATTTCCACATCGCCGGATTTAAATACAATACTATTGACTGCGACGTAAAATCACATTCACTTACACCAGAAAAATAAGTGCATATTTACATACGTAAACGAAGAAACGACGTAGTCAAGGCAACATCACACAGCATTAAAAATCCCCAAATTACATACGCTAATATGACTCCTATGAGCAGTGTCCAATATGTTCAACATGATTATATCCACCGTACTAACCTCATCGGGAAACCAACGCTCAACCCATTCTGGTTTTGAATCAGTTCGATCCTGTGGAGATCCGGCCATGCAACCATCGCATCCTGGCTCCTCCATGACTAAAACCACAGTTACAAAGTAATGTTTTCTAAACCATCTCTAGGGCATCGATTTACTAGAGACACAGTTCAGTCACTTGACCAGATAACATCACAGTAGCCCACGGAAATAGACCCCTCTGTGACAAGTTATAGGCACCTGTGAACGTCAGCAGTTCCTCCGACAGGTTACGCATGTGGCGTAGCATTGGTCGTGTGTAGTACACCGGTAGAGGTCAACGTGACCAGTTACGTAACGGTAAATCTCCATAATAAGTACTGCTACTTCGTATAACATTATATCCCTGCCGTGGCTAACACGGTTCTATTATGTAACTGCTTAATGGACAATATTTCCTTATTTGTATGATTGGTAATCATAGGTACGGGTGATTGGATTGGGCCCCAATATTACAAACTTTACGAGGCTGAAAACTATCAAGGAAACACAAGGTCTAAATCACAAATCTGATACCTGTATAAAAATACATCTCGATAGACCATTCATTTCTTATTTTTTTTAAGCTGTACCCAAATCATACACGAAGGTAAACCGTCTTTTGTCCGGTAGTGTAGTAGGTGTGTCTGAAACAGATTATGCACGCCAGCATATCCAGACGATTATTTATCCATGAAGGTAGGGGCAATTCATTTCTTGGAGCGGGATGGAGTTGTTCAACGTGCACATTCCACAGCATATAATATGTGGAGTGAAACATGAGTATTACAGGCAGGTGTTCAAGGCATTTTCTGGGGCAGATTTGACATTTCCTAAAATGAACCCAGGCTTCTATGTACATGAAATGATCGATTCTACAACGTTATTCTTTGCTGTTGCAATAATGTATGAAAAATATATACTGATGGGCAAAAGAAACTTTCTCTTTCAAAAAATTTCATAATATTAGCATAAGAAAATATAATCAAATGCAAAGGTATGCAAATGTAGTTCTTCATATATACACCCGTGAAGATCCGGGTTAGAGTGAGTGAGTTTAGTTTTTACGCCGCTTTTAGCAATATTCCAGCTATATCACGGCGGGGGACACCAGAAATGGGCTTCACATATTGTACCCGTGTGGGGAATGGAACCCGGGTCTTCGGCGTGACGAACTACGCTACCCCAACCCCCCTCCGGGTTAGAATTAATCCTCAGTAACCCATGCTTGTCGTCAGAGGCGACTAACGGGATCAGGTTGTCAGGCTCGCTGACTTGGTTGACACATGTCATCGTATCCCAACTGCGCAGATCGATACTCATGCTGTTGATAACTGGATTGTCTGGTCCAGACTCGATTATTTATCTGTCATATAGCTGAAAGATTGCTGAGTGCGGCGTAAAACTAAACTCACCCACTCACTCATATACACATTACTACATAAACTTAAACATTTCGATAACGGATTACAGTACAGATTAATGAGGGGTCACTATTATTCTAGCATGTCGGCGGATGCGGATGGTAATTACAGAGAGCAGCTGTCGTGATTAATTATCATAGTTTTGTGTTTGTTGGAATTCGACCTGCATGGACACATATTTTATCTTTCGGAAAATAAGAGGCTCTCTTCCTAGTAATGTACATTGTCACGCCAAGGTGCGTGTTGACACGTGTTGTGCAACATGTACTCGGCACGCAGAGGTTAACCTCTCTTGTTTGCTGGTAGGTTCATTTACCATGTTCCTGCTGACATTCTTGGTTATTAGTGACATTACTTGGTTGTTTCTATTACCACTTGGTTGTTTATGACATTACTTGGTTGTATTACCACTTGGTTGTTTATAACATTACTTGGTTGTATTACCACTGAGTTGTTTATGACATTACTTGGTTGTATTACCACTTGGTTGTTTATGACATTACTTGGTTGTGTTACCACTTGGTTGTTAGCGACATTACTTGGTTGTTTCTATTACCGCTTGGTTGTTAGCGATATTACTTGGTTGTGTTACCACTTGGTTGTTTATGATATTACTTGGTTGTATTACCACTTGGTTGTTTATGACATTACTTGGTTGTAGTACCACTTGGTTGTTTATGACATTACTTGGTTGTATTACCACTTGGTTGTTTATGACAATACTTGGTTGTATTACCACTTCTTTTTTTTGTTAGCGACATTACTTGGTTGTATTACCACTGGGTTGTTTATGCGGTACTTGGTTGTATTACCACTTGGTTGTTTATGACATTACTTGGTTGTATTACCACTTGGTTGTTTATGGCAAAACTTGGTTGTATTACCACTTGGTTGTTTATGACATGACTTGGTTGGTTGTATTACCACTTGGTTGTTTCTGACATTACTTGGTTGTATTGCCACTTGGTTGTTTATGACATGACTTGGTTGGTTGTATTACCACTTGGGTGTTTCTGACATTAC